CGTAGAAGTGAATGCGCGGGACGGCGTAGTGGACTGTGTGTTAGAAATATGCCCTAGAGGCAATAATATATTATTATTATATTTTTATGTTCATAATTAAGGGTTTATATTTTATGTTATAACTGTTATGATCCTCAAATATACGATTCAGTAAAAACTCATATGCACGTGTGAAATGATAAATGGTAAAATAAGATTCCTACTCTCGTCTCTAAGACTAGCTCAAGTGTTGGTGGTGGTCATGTTTTCTGGATCTTAGCATATCATTAAGTATAACGATAGTCCTAAAACAACATTGAGAGTATGATGTTAGAAGGACGATCATATTGAATTACTTTGAGATAATATCGTAGAAGTCAATTCTTATAACACAGGGTGTTTAACGTGTGGATATTTTCTTAGACCACGAGAGTATCATAGTCATTTCTTACAGTACGATGAACAATGGGTTGCTCAAATGTCATCTGTAATACGGTGATTATAACGGCAACTTACAGGTTCATTGGAAAGTTTGACAAGGGAGTAGATAGCTCGAGACTGGAATTTGCTCCTCCTCTGACGAAGAGATATTCTTAGGGCTCTCTCGGTATGACGACATTCATATCATCGTCTGGCCAGTCACCTGGTATGACGACATTCATATCATCGTCTGGCCAGACACAAGTGACTATGTAATGAGGAGACCGGTATCGTGAGCATGTGTATGACTCAAGAGTTAAGAGGATACCGATATATCTCACTTCGGATTTTGTAAAGTATCGTGAAGCAAAGGGAATAGCACATGATAACAAAAGGTTCACTGGAATGTCATTCGTATACTCAAAGGGAACGATATGGACGTGCATGGTTTCTCTATCGGTCATTGAACGAAAGTGGTTTTGTTCATGTCTATGTTTTACCGAACCTACATGGTCACAAGTTTAAGGTAATCACAATCTGTTGAGTATTAGTAGGACAGGAATAATGAGAAAATATTCGTCAAATTGTTTCACTAATACTCAAAATAGTTTCGACTGGAACCGGAAGCATTCTGGGGTCATCGAAAGGGTTTCAGAGTTTATTGGATAATATCGGATATTTCCGACAAATAATATATAGGTGGAACATGTTTTCGGATATTCCCATAGTATGGGAGAGCCATTTTTAGGCAAATCTTCACAAGACCATTATCACCAAACGGTCGGCAAGCTTCAAGCATATGATCTCTTCGTGATGCTTCACTTGAACTTGCACAACTCAACCTTGATGGCGATCACCACTTGATGTCATCCTCCATGGGTTATATGAGATCTTCTTCTTGATGCAAGCCCATGGAAAAATAACTAACCCCACACTGAACCACCACACAAATAGATCATGGGTTAGTACACAAAGCGTAATGGACAATGCTAACCGTACCGTGAGATCACTTGATCCTACACAGTACATCTTCTACACTTTGTGGGCTGACCAACTTGAGTCCACTCTTTGTACTTAGTCTTAATCAACCTTGTACCTTATCTTCTCTTTTCATCAAGATGATGTCCTGAAGGTAAACATGAATGTTCACACAATCTTCTTCTTCAAGACATGCTTGCAGTACACTCAACTCTCACATGACCAATCTTTCAATAACTCCTTGAATAGCATCTTGGTCAACACATAATCTCCTTATTATAACCTTCAAACCAACACATGGTCTTCAAGCAAAGCATATGAACAAACCATAAGGTATAACTCAAAGCAACAATTAGTCCATAGGGATTATCATCAATTACACCAAAATCCAACATGGGGGCATCATGTTCTTTCACGTACACGACCAACGGCCCGGCGAGGGAAGCGGGCTGGTGGGTCACATAGATGCCTGAGAGGTCTGAGTTCATGGACAACCCGAGCCACCGCTTCTTCTCCACGAACTTCAGCACGGGCTGCAACATCCCGACAGCCACAACGCCGAGGCTCACCAACGCCGCCGTGGGCACCAGCATCACCACACACCCCGTTGTGCCTAGCGCCACCCTGTAGGTCCACGGGGTGTCAGTCCACCTCATTGACGGTAGTATTAACAATAGGAACTCTAGGAACATGCTAAAGCGGTAGAAGTTCTCAGCCGCCATGATCTCATGTAAGCTCATCGTCGAGAGCAACAACACGCCTGAGACCGAGAAGAAGATGCCAACCAATGGGGTTCCGTACCATGACCAGCTTGACGGTTCCTTGGGCGGCAACGGAAGAGGACAGACGGGCGTCGTCGCGCTGGGACCCCCTTTTGATGGCTGACTTCATGAAATTCCTCGCCACTAGCTAGATTCCAACACCGGAGAGGGACGGCCGCAGGTGTGGGGGTGATGCAGGTCCCATTCTCGGGGCCGTTGGTGGCTGCGAAGGCGGAAGGAGGAGGTGTCATTCATGAGAGAGGTGAAATTAATTATTTTTCCCCAAGAACTTGTTGCGGCCGAGAAAAATAGAAGAGTTGGGCTGGGTTTGGGGCTTAACTCGTCAAAACTTTGCTCCGCTACACGTTTGAAAGGTTCGGCTAGGTAGGGTTAAGGCATCTCCAATGTTGATCCGTAAATTTGCTCCTGCATCCGTCCACGAACAGGGGGGCCAGTCAACATACACGAATGCCGGAGCCGGCCATCCAATGCTACCCGCATACATCCCGCCCCAATTTTTTTAAAGCCCGCGTGCTCAAATAGCTTCATATATAGTATATAATATTTCAAATGTTCAAATGTAGCAGTAGTTCTAATTTAAAAAAGTTCAAATATTACACTCAAACATTGTTGTCCCCTTTAACCGCCCACAAATGCTCAATCGGATCCTTCTTCAGTTGCTCGATGTTGAATCTGTTGATGCATTTGAACAAACTCTTCAAATGTGGTCGGATTCTGGTCAGGAAGTTCGATATGATCACCCATGTTCTCAAATTCAAGACACGCGGCAACATCCTCACCCTCATCCTCCATGATCATGTTGTGCATGATCACACAACATGTCATCACCTCCCACAAGGTCTCTGGATCCCATTGTTTAGCAGGTTCACGAACAACTGCAAAACATGCGTGCAGAACTTCAAAAGCCCTCTCAACATCCTTTCTAGTTGTTTCTTGTCTTTGGGCAAAGTAAGACTTTTTCTGGACAATTGGGTTAGAGAAGGTGTTCACGAAGGTAGCCCAAGAAGGATAGATACCATCAACCAAATAGTAGCCCATGTTGTACTCATGCCCATTGATGGTATAGTGGCAAGGAGGAGCTTTTCCTCCAGTCAGCCTAGCAAACAATGGTGATCACTGCAGCACATTGATGTCATTGTGAGACCCGGGCATTGCCAAAGAAAGCGTGCCAAATCCAAAGATCATGTGATGAAACTGCTTCAAGAATGATGGTGGGCTTCTTAACATGACCCTGATATTGCCCTTGTAAAGCTTTTGAACGGTTCTTCCATTTCCAATGCATGTAGTTAAGAGAGTTGAGCAAACTTGGCCACCCTCTTGCTTTCAAGATTGCCAAGAGCCTCTCGGTGTCCGCCATGGCTGGTTCTCTCGGGTAATGAGGTCCAAACACCTCGACCACGACAATTGCAAACCTAACCATGGCATCTCCGCATGTGCTCTCAGACATCCGTAGGTACTCGTCCCAAGAATCAGCGATCGTGCCATATGCAAGCATCTGCAGTACGGCCGTGCACTTATAGTAACCAGAGAAACCAATCTTTCCCACGACGTCCTTCTTCAAGATGAAGTAGTCATCAAAAGACTAGATGCCATGGCAGAGACAATCGAAGACATTTTTGCGCATTCGAAAGTGACAGTGAAATTGTCGGTAAAGAGGGCATCGGCGGCAAAGTAGTCATCCATCAACATCAAATGGTCACGCACCGTGTTGCAATTGAGCACTCGATGGCCCTTGATTGATACCTTGAAATTGAGAACATGCTCTTCTGCACGCTCCGCATCTGCAAGGACCGCCTGCATCATCGCCATCTCATCCATGTATTCCCGACTCTACATAGTGCTTGCATATGTACTCCATATCCAAATCCATTGCTTCAAAGAACAAGAAACAAAAAAATAGCATGGGCATTTCACCGAACAGTTGTCGGACATGGTGAGTATTGTAGGAGCTGATGGTACCTGCACGGAGGTCGAAGGAGAGGTGTGGAACGGCGGAGGAAGAGAAGCGGCTTGGAGCCCGGGTGTACCATTGGAGGTGATGGACTCGCCGAGCTCCGATAGGGGTGTGGTTGGGCGGCCGGGTGCTGAACCGATGACGAAAGCAAGAGAGAAAAAAGGAAGGAGAGAAAATGAGAGGACGGAGGTGCGGGTCCGGGAGGGGTTTTGGGTGGGCCAGGGGTGTAGGAGTCCTATGTGTCTGCTGTCCGGACTCCCGAAAGCCCCCCGGTTTGTCTCGGGTTTACGAGAAAAGTGCATCCGAATGCTCGGCGGACCGATATAAAACCATGTTGGATGGCTAAACTGTCCAGATCGTATAGTCCAGACGGTTGCGGTAACCCTCAGGAGATGCCCTTAACCCTCATTTTGAGGAGTTAAAAGGTTTCAAGGAATCGACTAGATATGCTCTAACAAGATTAGCAAGCATCTCCGTGTTTCTGGCTCAAGGAGATCAAACGGAAGAGGCATTGACCATGAAAGCAACCTACGGCAGCTGTACTGTGGCCGTCAAGGAAGGCAAAGACGACGTGGAACTTGGTGTGACTAAAGCCAACTAGCCACCAACACATACTGGGGAGTTACATTGAAATGGTCACACACACAGACACAGTAGTCACAAGTTTAAAGCAGTTTCCTTACACGAGGCTTCAATTACGTACACACAACTCAGGCTAGCATCAGTAACTCACTGCACTTCACATACCCCTTCTAAAAAGTGCACATATACACATAGTATATCAGTATAGAAAAAGGAATAATAGGTTCTCAAAAAAACAGAGAATAATAATTTACTAAACTACAAGGAAGGGGATCCAACTCCTTTGTGCACTTCTGTTTGCCAGATTAACATTTGCGCTGACGTTTTCTCGCTGCCACATGAATCTTCTGTTTTTCGTAGGTAACGACGTAGTCGCAGTAAGGCGGGATCCGAGATCTCCATACTAGCACCTCAAACTTGTCTTCAACAGGTATATCACGGCCTGTCAGTAGTTCTTGCGACGTCAGTTTTGGCAGCTCACTTTGAGCAGGGCCAGCCTCCCTAAGATCATACACCAGGTATCCCTGAGCCTGACCACCCACCAAGGCCGCACTGCCGAAATTCACAGGAAAATTTCTACCAAGAAGGTCCTCCGGGTGCGTGCCGAAGGACAACAAGTGCTCACGAACTATTCCTCTTATGCTCGATAATACTCCGCGCCAGAATTCTGTGCTTGGATTAGCTCTTAGTAGCTCCCCGAGTATGTTTGCACCAAGAAATGATCCCTGTAGGAGCGCCGCTAGTTGCATGCCCAAAGATGCCAGTTTCGGGTGCTCATCAGGATTCGTGCTTCCAAAGGCGAGTGCCTTGAAGTAGTACCAGTACTCTTCTTGAGACAGACTCCTCAGCCTGATCGGTTGAGCAGTCCCCAAGTTTGCAACTTGCTCTGCTCTGCCTGTCACTACAATTTTGATCCCAGCACCTGGCAACTTCTGCAAATATGACTGGAAGTTTGTCCATGCTGCCTCATCCACATCGAAGATGAAATCCACAACAAACAAGTACTTCCCTGAGGCTGCCTGGCTGTTCAATGCAAATACTTCGTTCCGTAGATCATCTCCTTTGAAGAAAAACATGTGGGAGAAACGATTGCACACCCTCTCATCCTTGCAAGCATGTTGCACCAGAGTTTTCTTCCCAATTCTGTGCGGGCCGATGATCGGCAGGATGCTAATATGTGCGCAATCGTGACGAGTGTCATCACATAGCAAGAAGTTGATGAGTTGCTCTTTCTCAACGTGGCGACCAAACATGCACTTATCCATGTATAGGTGCATACAGTATGGCTGGCGAGGAAGGCGAGGGCAGCTGCCGAGGAGCACAACGAACTCTCTCATATCTGCAGTCGTAGCCTCTAAGCTTGCAAGAACACTTTTCAACTTTGTTGTGCTCCTGGTACTAAATGTTATTGGTGTGTTCTTCATCATAGAAGCAGCAACAGCAAAACGAAGGCGCTTGGCGGCGTCAAAAGTAGAAACGGCAAGAGATTGGCTCCAGTGACTCACCTCATCATCTTCAACGCTCTCTTCTCCAAGGGGTTGGAACTTGAGCTTGTCAAGCATGTAGTACCCGAGATGCACACCCTCGATGAGTGTCTTCAGCTGCAGGAACATCCCTCGATTTGTGATGTGCCGCCCCTCTGCTTCCTCAACAACCATGTGCATCCTTAGCAAGATGCATTCCAGCCTTCTACGATCCTCCTCCTCACATGTTTGAGTGCCATAACTTTGCACCAGGAAAGAGATGAACCGGCTGACAAGATCACCCGCCACAGCTGAAATCAGAACCTCCATGCCAAGATCTGATTTTTAGTTTGCAAAGAAAGTAGTTATTTCAGAGGTGGGGAAATAAGGTCAAGAAAGACAGCAACCCAGGGTTATATGACAACGACAGAAATAAATTCATATGATGAGGTGGCTCGTCCTAACACTCACGTACAAAATTTCCTTTTTGTAACTTGTTTCTACCTTGAGCCCCTTGAGCCGGAGGACCTTTTCTCAGTTTGCTTTCTGTTGCACCTCCGCCTTCTCGATAATGGTCGATGATGGCGAGGATCGGTGGCTGGAGCACCTCAGCTTCTTCAGGTCATCCTCCAACACTAGCAACTGCAGAGATAAGCATCTATACTGTGAGCCTTGACCAGGAAGCAATTATCCATACCTTTTTCTTTCTTTAAAAGAAACATAGCACTACGGTGGCTAAAAGTCAAGAAATGGAACTGCCAGCACAATGATTCAAAGGTGTGGGCATGTGGCTGAAGCCAGTTAGTCATCGACACATACTGGGTTAAACTGAATTGACCATATACATGAGAATAGTCAGAAGCGTGATGTAGCAATAGGAAGTGACTGCCCTTTACATATCCTGTTTAACAAGTGCATATTAGCAAAAAGGTTCGAATTACATCTAGAATAAGGATGGGCATACAGATAACTCCTCCGTGCACCTCTGTCGGCCAAATTAAAATTCATGCTGATGTTTTTTTCCATGCCAGATGATTCTTCTTGCCGATGCTACGACGGTGCTTCTGTTTCTCGTAAGTAAAAACATAATCAAAGTTAGGAGGGATCCGAGATCTCCATCCCAACACCTCAAACTTGTCTTCGGCAGGAACACCTCAGGACGGGTGCAGTAGCTCCTGCGATGTCAGCTTTGGCAGCTCGCCTCCCAAAAATCATATATACATGGCATCCTTGAGCTTTACCGCCCACTAAGGCCACATTGGTATAATTCAGAGGAGTATTCTCTCCAGAAATTCCTCTGGGTGCGTGCCGAAGGACCTCAAGTGTTTGTGAGCCAGTCCCCTTATGCTACATAATACACCACGCAAGAATTGAGCATTTGGGCTCGCTCTTAGTGGCTCGTATATTTGCACCAAGAAATAATCCCTGTAGGAGTGTTGCTAGTTGCATACCCAAAGATGCCAGTTTTGGATGCTCATCGGGATCCATGCTTCCAAAGGCAAGTGCCTTGAAGTAGTACCAGGACTCTTCTTCAGACAGACTCTTCAGCCTGATGGGTTGAGCAGTCCCCAAGTTTGCAACTTGCTCTGCTCTGCCTGTCACTACAATTTTGATCTCAGTGCCTGGCAACTTCTGCAAATATGATTGGAAGTTTGCCCATGTCGTCTCATCCACATCATAAGATGAAATCCACAACAAACAAGTACTTCCTGAGACTGCCTTGCACCTATCGAGCATGTAATGCCCAAGATACACACCCTGAATGAGTGCCTTAAGCTGCAAGAACATTCTTCGATTTGTGATGTGCCGCCCCTCTGCTTCCTCAACAACAGCGTGGATCCTTAGCAACACGAGTTCCAGCCTTCTACGATCATCATCCTCACAAGTTCGAGTGTCATATATGTGAGCTAGGAATGAGATGAAACGGCTGGCAAGATCACCTGCGACTGCTGAAATCAGAACCTCCGTACTGAGCTGAGACGAGCCCTCCCTGGGAGTAAGTGATCACATGGGAGTTAATTTGCAAAGAGTAACACTGTTTCAGAGGTGGTAGAATGAAGTCAAAGTCTGCAGACATATGGCACCATGATGGTGACTGAAAGCAGTTCACACAGTTGGACGCTCCTACAAAATACAAAATGTCTCTTTCGGCTCACTTATTTCCACCTTTTCATGAATACGGCTGCAGAAAACATTGTGTGCATTTTAAATATGAGGAAGTCTCCAATCAATCCTAACCCCACAAATGGACCAAATGCAATGGCCCAGGCACTCTTGTGTTTACAAGAGTGTCACTTTCAGACTTTTTGATGTTTTCTCTATTTTGTGCAGATGGGCAAAAAAATGTTATATTTTGCAAATAAAATAACGACAACTAGGATAAATCATTTTGGGGTGACCTAAAAAGCATGGTTTCATTACAAATTGGGCATCAGCCGGCCACTCTCTCCCAGTTCCTCCCTCCCTCTCTATTTGCACTGGTTGACACCTGGTTCATAAGAGCAAAACAAACATCTAGATAAATGAGCATTCTTGCAGTAAAATCAGCACAGCTCATATGTGAGCAAATTTCATTCTTCCACTTGCTACTTGAGACTATTCATCACTAGAAGTTACCCTAGGAGATACTCCCTCCGTCCCAAAATTCTTGTCTTAGATTTGTCTAAATACGGATGTATCTAACGTAACTAGATACATCCATATCTAGACAAATCTAAGACAAGAATTTTGGGACGGAGGGAGTATATGAGAAGCCAACAAGAGCAAGAGAGAAAGGCTGAGATAGAAACCAAATAAGGTGGCTCACTAACCAAATACGTTTTCCTCAAAATTCTTCACTGCAACGCTTACAACAACAAAAATAAAGAACTTCATGAGCTCCTTTCTTTTAAGATTGGAGCCCAAACAGACACAGAGGTCAGTGGCCTGGACTTCCAGCACAACACAAGCCTACCCTTCTCATGCACAACCTCAAACCCCCTATCGAACAACCCAACCAGCATCCTGGCCTGAGCAACATTGCAACCACTCAGGTCACAAGCCCCATACCTTTCCAAAACCTGAGGAGCAGTGACCTCAACTGTCACAGACCCATACTGCCCCACAAAGTCCTGTATCCTTGGCCCCACCATCTCCCTCTCCACAAGCCTCAGGCAAGCCCCCTGGTTACCACCAGCGAAGCAGCTCGCCAGTGACTCGAACACCGTCGTGAAGTGGTGCAATGCCTCGAAGAAGAAGTCGACAAAGGAGGCCTTACATAGAGACGCCTCCTTTCCGATTCTAACCAGCTCCTCTTCTACAATGACCATTAACTTAGGCTGTAACAGCTTAACACAGGCAGGTAGGAGTGCCGGTAACTTGCTCAGCAACTTGTAAGGCATGCTTGTTGTGTCGCATGAGAAGATCACCGAGCCTTTACTGTTCTTGAAGAACTCATGCAGGTCTTCATCACTGTGTAAACAGAGAGAGCTGTACTGGAAGGGGAGGTTCAAGGAGTCCGCGAACTCCGAGAGCCGCCGGGCAGATTCATGGTGAACATCGTTGGTGTAGTCGGCGTCTGCTGTGACTGCCGTGAGGTGGAATGACATGCCACCATGACGGGCAAGATCTGACATGAGTGATGGCCACTGGATGCCCTCGCCAATGTTCAGGTCGACGACGTTTACATGTGTATCGCCCTTGGTGGCGTCTAGAATGGCCTGGTTGGCAGTGAAGTGTGCAAACTTGGCAAACGGCGACAGCTCTTGTATAATCTGTTGCACCGACATTCTATCAGACGGCAGTGGCTCCGGCAGCGAGCAACTGGTGCTTGCACTGGAGATCCGGGACCGCAGACCTTGGGCAAAGTGGTAGGCCAGGCGATCAAAAGAGCCGGCTGCTGCATTTTCAGGGCTGCCAAGGAGGAGCCCATCAAGCCTTGAGAACACTGCCAAGGCAAACCTTGGATCCCCCGCCTCGACCGCCTCTGCACCAGTGAGAAGGAGATCAGTTAAACTGTTCTCCTCCATGAGCTCTTCCTGGATCGCGACCAAGTTGCCACTCTCTTGGCCCAGAATCCTCTCATCACAATAGGTGAACACACCAACATCAGAAGCATCTTGTTGATGCCAATCATTGGCATAATCTTGAGCTGCAGTGTCCAAGAACACATTATCAGGTTGCTGATCAGTGGAATGATCAACATGGATGGTGGCGTTCTCGTGGAGAGCTACTTGAGGAGACCACATGAAAAAGTTACTCTCTTCATGTGTGGGGAGGGAGAGAAGAGGGGAACAAGGATATGACATGGTCTCCATTTTAGTTGCTATCTACGATAAGAATTGCCTTGATGTGTGGCCTCAGACTGTGTCTTATATAGAAACCACATGGCGGAGGGGCAAGAGATTAGTAGTGGAGAAAAGAGAATGCGTGGACCCCGCCTTCATGGCCGATGCACGCTAAATTATCCTGATCTTGGAGCCTAATGCAACATGGATTGAGCTAGAGGTGATTGGCTCTTGTGTAGTTCCCCACCAACTTCACAGCATACATACATACCCCCCAAAACATCACAATAAAAATAGAAGAGAAAAGCATACGTGTGCAATGTGTCATTTTGCTGGCCTGACAGAATGAAGCAGAAGGGACTGCGAATACGCTAATGGCATATTCCAAGAATTCTTCTTGCTACGTGGCAGCATCTAGTCAATTGTTGGACTATGTGCTGTTGCTACTTCAAAGTTGCTATGGCCTGCACATATGTGCCAATGGCAATGCAGAACGGCAACAAAAGATGCAAATCATATGATTTAAATTTTTGTGCTCAAGAAATGGCTTCTTAGTACTATATGATATCTTTTTAAAAACATAAGCACCGCTTCATTCAGTCTGATACGGAATTAATGTTGACGTTTTAATACTTAACATTATTCATGATCATTGACCACCCCAAACCAAGTTAATTTTGGCATGCTAATGTGTGTCCAAATTGTTTGTGGTGTAATAAATTCTTGACACCAACTTGCTCGCAGACTGGATTCTTTATTTGACACCAATAAGGTATTCATAAAGCGTATTCATAAAGCCCATTATTGTCAGGTGATACAAATTATTGGCAGATTCTAATGGAGTTATGAGATGTAGACAATAGAGTAAAACTAAAAGAGGGCAAAGCTGCCTGTCTCAAGGAATAGAGCTGTTGCAAAGTGGAACTTACAAAACACAAGCGTAGGCCACACAGATTTCCTGGTTCCAGGCTGCCTCTTGCTACTGATCTGAATGTTTCTCCTGCCTTCCCGCCTGGCAATTCCAAAATGATCGTTTCCAGAAACTACCAACAGCAGGAAAATCTG